CGGGTCTCGAAAGCAGGGGCTTCATGAAAAAATTGACGACTCGATCTATCATCGCGGCACCGTATGCACGTCGAATGTGCGGAACTGCACTCGTGTCGTAAATCGTATAAACGGTACTCGGTGGGAAAATATAACAGACGGAACCGTACGATGAACCGTGGGTGCAACTGGTGATGGACTGGTGAAGGTTTATGCGCGTACAGATATTCTGTTGCTTAAATCGAAGTCGAAGACGAATTTATTTCATTGATAAAGAGGGTTGCTGTGTTTAAACAGTCGACAAAAAGACACTTTTTGAGGTCTTGTTCTTTTTTTTTTAGAGAACTGATACGAAATAATTCAATAGGAGTTTCTAGGATAGATTAGGCAACGTTTTCAGACAGAATTCACAGGTTTGTAATGTAAAAAAAAGACATCAATTTATGAATATTTTTTTCAGGAAGCTTTGAAAAATGTTGTTGTAGATTACGCCTCCTGAAGAAGGTATAAAACAAACATTCAAGTGTGCTTTGAAATTTGAAAATCATAGAATTGACGGTTGTTTAATAGAAAACAATGTGTATTTCCGATAAACCTTCGACAGGTGTTAACCAAATTTCAAATGAATCGGTTCATAACTTTTCGAGTTATCCACAACGTCAGGTCGAAAAATATGAGTTTTCAGATAGATACCAGTGATTTTGACAGGTGATTTTTTATTCAGTATCTCACAAAAAATATTTTGTTTCTTAATTTTCGTCGTTAATTATACGTCCCATAAATCTGGTCTGCAGTACTGAAAAATGTCGAAGCTTCACTTGCGTAACAGCGAAAGCCTTGAAACGTCTGAATATGAAATAAATTCGATATTACCTATAGGTATATATATATATATATATATATATATATATATATATATATATATATATATATATATATATATATATGTATATATATGATAAATATTATGCTCGAAAGATTCATTATCGTCGCTGAAATCGACAGTATTAAATGGAAAAAAAAAAAAAGAATCGTGAGTTAGGTGCGCTCGAGCAGGAAGAACTCGAGAATAGCGAAGAAGAGGACTAATATTACGCATGAAGAGGCAGCATGCGGTCTCTGGTCGACCTAGAAAATGGTTTACCGTCTACGTCAATGGCGGCCGAGAGAGAATAAGGTTTAAACGAGATAGTAAGGCCGACGATAAAAAACACAGATCGACCCCGTCTTCCTGCGTCGAGAGTCTCGTCGAGTGTTATTTTAGAATTAAGGGCAACTACCAGCCCGGTAAATCGTAAACACCGCCGGGTGCACGGTATGAAGAACAATATGAGTAAAGCTGACTGTCGAATGGGGGAACATTGATGGGGCAGCGCAAGATCAAAATGGCGGAGACGTTCCATTTGGTGTAATTCTAAAACTGGTTAATTATGTACGATCATTCTACTAGTATTTCCACTAAGACCAAGAAATTCATTTTAACAATCACTCGCAAGAATCTACACTTTGAACCCTAACTATTCGAATACTTTTCATTGCTCACTACGGTTACACGCGGAGTCCTTCAAAAATAATTCACATACCATTAATATAGGTTTTATGAAAATTCCCCCCTTTGGTAACAACATCCACAGAATCGATTCTCCGTGTCATTCGGTTCGCCTATGACCAAAGGGAGGGGAAACTGTAGAAATTGCTGCATTCGCGAAAACCGACGGCGAAGAACCGTTTCTGATTGAATTCCCGCCATCGAATAAGACAGTCCCTAAAATTGAATTAACGATCGTTCATAGTATCAGCGAAAGCAATTTGCCGAGGCGGTTCTTGCTGGACGGACCCCTTCGATTTATGCGGTGGAAGTTTTACTCCCTTTGCCCCCCCCCCCTGGCGTAATGAGGCGGAACCTCAAAGACGTCCCGCTGGAATGTCGAGATAAACGTAACGTTTGCTTATACATGTACGATCGAACGACATTACATGGAACATTACTATACATGTTCACAATTGACTTCGTATAATTTCCAATTTCCTCCGAGAACATAATTGTGCTCAATTCAATTGATCTACATATTGCAAATGAATAATTTACAAAGCACCCTCAAAAATTAATGATAGTCGGTCTTTAATTTACAAAGAATTTATAGTTCATCAATTGTAAAGTGCGAACGATAATAAATTATACCGAAGAAGTTGACCTTGACATGTATGAGACGTATTTCCATCTACTGATTCTTAATGACCCCATCTCATGTCTTAAATTGTTACATGCTTCATTCTTTGTTCCGTGAACTTCGTTTTCGAACCGATATAATAATTGAAACGTTGTTTCGTCCGAAAATATACTCAAGTATTTCCGGTTCAATCCCGAGAGGTTAAGAACGGATTATCGCTGACCGAACACTTCCCGCGAAAATGTCAAAATGTCTGGCAAGAGCATCAATCGGATTTATCAGAAGCGAGAAAAAAACATCTTAAAAGTAGAAACCAACACCGAAAGTCTCAGTTTATTGTATACTGAACACAGGTTCATTTGGTTAATTTTTTATTTCGCAACTATCCTCGTGATTTAACCAGAAATTGATTAAGAATTTCGATATTAAATATCCACCTTAAGGTTCAATAGAACGTGTCAATCTAACGTTATAACCGACACTGATCTTCATGACAGTCGCTTAACAAATAAATATGTACGCAAACGAAATTAAATTCCCGAAATAGTATTAAAACATTAGCAGTATCATACCTGAGAAGCAAGATTCCCGTCAAACTTCCGTCGAATGTCTTCCTTGCACGCACTTTAACGACACATTTTCTACGAAATGGTAAACCCGTACGTCTAAACGTTTACGTCGCGGAAAAACGTTTGAACGAGAACTCGGTATTTTCAGCGAAATCGGCGAACTCCCGCCAGTACCGCGAACAGATTTCCACTGAGGCAGTAGTCACCGGTAAAATTTGAAAATTGCCAATCTTGATTGACCTTATGGAAGTTAGGAGGCGCAATCTGTCAATCTGCTTCACCCGCGTTTCTTCCCGCGTGCACTCGTACAAACTATCCGCAAGTAATACATCGCCTGCACACCACGTTTCCAGGAACCATCGTGGCCTCTAAGCTTTATTTAGAACTTTTAGTTCGAAAATACGGTACGCGAATCAGCAAAGACACGTTTACGTCTTATCCACTGATAAACATCACGAGAAACAACCGTAAGAGACGACGTACGCGACGCGAAAGCAACTGGTGCCCGAAACTCAAATTTTTTAGTTCACACACATTGTCGTTGGGGGCCTGGTGCATTATATGTAGCAAAAAAACAAGGTTGCACATTACTTGATTATAACCCTTCTTTATTGAGACACCTTCATTAGGTGTACCAATGAGTAATCCACTATACATATATATGTATATATTCTGTCTAAATTAATAAGAGTAGAACCTAGAGGAGCGGAACGAAATGTATTAACATTAGAGATACTGGTGATTAACGTATTCTTATGTCTATCAGATAGGTGAAAGTGACAATATTTTAGAAACATACAAACTTTTTAATTAATACATACGATACATATGGCAATGAAAGTTACAAAAAGTCTCAGAAAATGCACACTGTTATAAACAGACTGCGGATGTTTATACAAATGTAGATTTTTTATGGATTGATTTGCAGGAAGGCTTTTACGAAATGAAAAATTCCTTGGACTTTGTCAAACTTCTATCTATACATACTCGAAATCTAAGCAATCGTGTATATCATAAGTGTATAAAATCCATAATCTAGTTTATAACATTTTGTTAGTCAATCATTTTGATTACCTCGATAATTATTTAAATTAATCGAATTGAAAAAAAATTAGTTAAATACAGGATAACAGCATTCAATTACCTGTTCAAAATTCAACAAAAAGAAGGTCAAAGGAGTATTGGTATAATATATAAAATATGAAATTTTTTTATCCATGATGCACAATAATTTATACACATACAATAGAAAAAAAATTTTCTTAACTATGTGGAAAAAATATTGCATGCATTGGGTTATACTGACTATGTGTAACTGAATATGTTTTCCAACCACCTCTGCTATTATTAAGAGAAAAGGGGCAAAAAGATGCTTTAAATTTAAACTAAATTACCGGTTTATGAAAAACAAAAGCAGTGAATTACTGATTAGCGCACCAAACATTTATCTACACTCACAGATTTCTTAAATAGCCGATGGTTGTTTAAAATTGTAGTACCGACATTCCACCTGTAACGATCTACCTCATACTATTTACGCGTGTTTTGCATTCTCTTAGAGTCAGTCCCGAGGAACGACTTATCTTCGTCAAATATTAACACTGTCAACGCAATCTCGGTGTATGCTGTAGAACAATGTGTTTCGTTTTCAAGGAAGAATCTAATTCTTCGGATGTGACGCAATTTTCTTACAACACGTAATTACCAGCACTAACACTGTTTATTTTATAATATTTATGAGTCTGAAAAATTCATTAGTATCAAGGACAACAAGAAACCTAAAAAACACAGTGTTGAAAAATACAAAATGTCCTATATATTTATTATAAAAGATTTGAGTATGCAAACACTTTCTGTATTCACTGCACGTACCAATTAATAATGTTACAATATACACTCCTAAGTACGAAATTATTTAATAAAGATTCAGTTCCATTACAGAATATGTTGATGAAATGTTTATTTTACACAAATGTTTGTTTTACCAGATAAGATTAACGTAGTGTTTTCGGAGTAATTCTACTATAAAAATATAATGTGCGAAAGTACTATTATACAGCATAACTGTAATCTAATGAAATATATTTCCCATAAAGCTTCAATACTTCTGTACATTATTAACAGAATTACCTCTTTGAGGATATTAATGAACTAATGAAATTCTTGAACCTCTTTTTTTCTGCCATACACGTTCTATATTTAGAACATTTTTATCTTTGTGTCAAAGACACATTACTGGTATTGCAAACATATATATGTACATATATATATTGCAAGTATCTTTATTCATTTGCTTAGAATATTCCTCATAGAAATAGCTGCGTTCTGTCACATTACCTAATTTAGTTGCATTAATTAATTATCGGATATACCTAAGATATTTCCCACTATAGCTGGGGCCCATCATCCTGTATCTCATTCTCGACTTCGTTGTTACATATATACACAGAATCTGAAGCATTTCCACCTACAACAGAACACAGTTACAATTATGGAATAGTAACCTGAATCTGCTCCAAATTGAAGAATACGAGTAACAAGACTTGACAGTATCATATGGTTATATGAAAATTATACTTCTGCGAAAATACATAAAAGATTTAAAGAAATAACAATCGTTATATCATAATTTTAAAAATCACTTTCGATGTGAATTACTAAAATTGATACTAAATATTAGATTAATATTCAATATATTATAAAAATCCTTGAATTACTAACGTAATACTGTCAAGAAACATCGACCAAGTTTGCTGAGTTTGTTACAGAGTTTTTATATGAAAATATCACGAGAGACTGTACGTGATAATCTAGAAAAACAACATAGAAATCAGTGTTAGTATTAAATAGATACTATTGCCTATAACACCTTACATGCAATTATTTACCATGCAAAAACAACAAGACAGTTTTTTATATCACATAAATGTTCATGTGATATGCTGAAGAACGTTTTGTAAACATTTGTTTCTGTTTAGTAGGCAAGCTTAATCAGTATTCATCTAATATAAAATGTATACACAGAGTGCTGCAGTATTAATGGTATAAATGTACACAAGTTGATTCATCGTATAAAAAAATGTTAAGTCTACTACCTTCTTAATGTTTCTACTTATAATAAGCAATTGAATTCTCATTTATGCACAAAGAATCAGCTCATCATATGCATTTGTACTGTCAATACTACCATACCCTCTATATTGCAAATACTACAATATTAAACTTTCACTTGTTTGCAGACAACTTTAACGCACCCAATTCATTAATCATAAACGTAATCCCAGTAGAATATTTCTGGGAATTTTTATTCAATTTTAAAACGGAATAGGGTAACTAACTATAAACCCCAAATAAAAATGGATAGTTAGGAATGCAATTTTCAATGAAATAAAATAAGGGAGAACAAATGAATAATGTACAAGATTGACGTTCTAATAAATCAACATAAATAAAAAAAATGTTTACTCGATAATCAATTTAATTATTTCACGCGCGTTAATAGTTTAAACTTTACCGATGAGTAGTAATTTGAAGACATACTCGACTTAAATAATAAAAATAAACAATTTCTCGTTTATAAGTAATTTTGAATAATCATTACAAATATTATCTGCTAGAAAAAATAAATATAAATATTGTGTTAAAGAAGTAAATAATTTAACTAGAAGATAATTTCGGTTCAAGATTCCTGAACACACTGGCTTTGTGTAAATAAAAGTATGTATTCTTATAACTCTTCGATTAATAGTAAAATAATTGTCAAGAAGAAAATATTAAACTGATTACCGGATTAAATAAAGAGAAGTATGAAATCATGAAAATAAATTATATACCGGGTATACAGCACACTATCAGGGAAGGCCCAGTGATGCGATTTATAAATGCGTTGATTCAGCTTGCCCATTATTCTTAGTATCTAGATATTTGTCTGCAAGAAAGATTTGGCTTTAATTACACAAAATTAACTCCACTTACGTTCCAGATTAGGCCATGTAAAATACTATGTTGAATAATATACTGTATACAAGGTTTAAATCTTTAAATAGGGTTTACTATTTACAACTTTATATGCACTGCAAAATTTACGAAAGTATAAAATATAATGTATGAGGTCGAAATAAATGATAAAACATATTGGAGAGAATTTTTAAAATCTTAAATGGTAAACCCCGTTCGAAGTAAGTCACATATACACTAATATTTTTTCTCAAAGTAATGTAAAATATTTGTTTAAATAAAACATAATCATCTATATTTACTTTTCACTACTGACATTAGATGTAGATCATAATAATGCGTTTAACACATTAAGCACCAAATTAATAATAATGAGGAAAATGTGCTCTAAAGATATTATAACAAAGCTGTCACTTCTTAAGACTTTTTTAAGAAAAAAATTATACAATGAGAAACCAGATAATCATGTGGCATAACAAGTTGTATAGTTTAACAAGTTAAGCGCCTTAAACTAGTAAAAAAATATAAACATCAAAAGGACAACTTTGTTACCACTATCACTCTTTCACTCAAGATTTTAAGATTTTTTAGAATAACACATACCAATTTTTGAAAGTATGCAACAAGTTTCATAATTTTTATTCTATTTAGGGGAAAGATTCTGGCGCTTAACATGTTAAGAAAAACTGAATTGTGATACCTCCTTAAGTTTGACCCACTAATCTGTCCATTTAACGCCAAACTTGAGAACAGTTCATGCACTGTGTAAAAATAATTAAATTTTAATTAAAACATAGAAATGCGCGCTTCATATTCCAGTTACTTATAATTTAAAATATTAGAAAAATTATCTGTGACAGCTCTTAAGAAAAGAAAAACAGATTATAACGCAACGTTTTCCTCCGTGTCATTTATAAAATTACAACTTTTTGTTGATATTTAGATCTTCAACAACTTGGTGTTGCTTTACCAATCAAGCGACAGATTCATTGTCTTGCAGGTAATATTCCGTTGTATATACATGTTAAAGCAATAGTGCACTGTGTTTTTCACGATACCTACGTTACTCTTGCAACGAGCGCTTCCGATACAAGGCAATTAGAAATTTTTGGAAGATTATAAAACTTGTACTAACTTGTGTATACACATGTGTATCAAACATCAAGCTGTATTAGTAGCAACTTCCATACGAACATGCAAATAAGATGCCAAGACATAGTCTTTCGCTCTTCGAGTATATGCTCGCTGATTCACTTACCTGCAATCGCGAGACTGACCAACTCCTTGTCCTTCTGTATGTACAACGCTGTGAGGAAGAAGAACAGACTTCCAATAACTTCCACGAACAACGTCAGAAACATCGCGTACTGTAAGCTGCGGAATTCGACGAACGTGTCTTGAATTTTCTGCGCGGGTGGCATTATATCAGTGTCTACATGCAAGTCTGGAAGGAGAACCGTTTTCAGTCCTTCCGATAACTAAAAATAATCAATAAAGAGACAAGTTATGAAATATAAAATTTAAGATAACGTGCAAAAACGTTAATACAAAACACAGGAAAACGTTTATGAATATTTACCAGACCAATAAGATAAGGACTTCCCGCATCTCCTAAAGCATGTGCAATAAGTATTTGAAAGGCTTCCGCTGTAGATCTTCTTGTTGGTATCACTACATACTGTAAAATTTAAACCATAAACATTTTAGCTATTCACAGGAATTTAATTTACAAATCTCAAGAAAAAAGGAGTCCTAGAGTCACATACCAATAATATATCTGCTACAATGGACCAGTTTAAGTTTAATGATAATTGACCAAAAAATATCAACGTGTAACATGTAACAGAACTTGTATTAGCAGTTAGGATGGCGAAAAACAACAATGGTACACTGATGAGAAGTCCTCCAGCACATATTAATGGATCAGCCTGCTTCCATTGCACTCTTAGCTTCTGAGCTAGAAACGAACCCAGTGGCACTCCTATTAAACCAGATGCCATTCCTATTAATCCAAATTTGTATGAAACACTGAAATATTTTAAACATTCATGATAATGAAATGTTTTTAATTATCTCTGGGAGATAGTGATAAGTAAAATGCAGGAAACATACTCATCTGGATCAATATTAGTTCCGTTTGGTTGTAATGCAAATCCTAATTGCAAGAATGTTGGAGCCCACCAAGCCAGTGCACCAGTTACGAAAGCTACACATGTAAATCCAGCAGTAGATAACATGAAGCTTGGACTAGAAAGTACAGGAACATAGTAAATTGTAAAACATTTAAAACTAAATAGTTCATGTACTTTCATTTCTTCAATATTCGCATTAATATTTACTTTTTTAATAATTGCTTGACATCACTGGACCATGCAGTGTTCGTCAAATGAACCCCACCTTCTCTTTCCCCTCTAATGGGATCTCTTACAACCGTAAGTAGTAAAATAATGGCTATTACACCTAACATTGGGGTAATACGTAAACCCCATTGCCATACACCAGTAGCTCTTGCTGTTTCACCTCCTATTATGTATCCTAATCCACTGAAAGTTGTGTACACCTATTAATATATATTCAACACACTGTATGTACTATGTTAGAACTTAGAAGAACTTCAGCAATGAATGATATAACATTTCAATTTACCTTCCAACTGGTATGGCAAAATAAAAGAATGCAAGCATTTTAGATCGCATATCTTTAACAAATAAATCACTGATTATTGTTGGAGCTATTGTAGAATAACTAGCTTCACCTACACCAACTAATGCTCTAAATAAGAGAAACCATCCAAATGTCTGAAATAATATTACACATAAACATCATTAAAGTTCTACGACTTATATTGTAGAAAAATGCATCGCAATAATAATTTAGTCTAACAATCAGGAATCTACTGCATTAGAATCAGTACCTTCATATAGGAGCCAATAAATGTTGTCAAACACCATAAGAACACACCACTACTCATTATTATTTTTCTATTGTAACGATCCCCTAAATATCCAAACAATGGTGCAAATACCATATAACTTAAAATAAATGCAGTCTGAAGTAATCCAGACTCATCGTTGCGAATTTTAAAATCATTCTTTATGTTGTGCAGCATTCCTACAACATAAAGTTGTACACGCATCTTTACCAGGTTTCTATAAATAGCATTTGACAATCAATGTCAGGAGATACCAAATACTGGCATCATGAAACTCGATGTAAATAATACAAACCAGCGAGCGTAAAACGGTCCATATAATTAATAAGATTGACGAAACATAATATGCTGACTGTGATCCAGTCGCTTCTGCTTATCGATCGAAATTCCGACAACATTGTCCCCTTTATTTGTCTCTCTCTGGAACGGTTCTGGGCATTCTCCTCGTTCACCATATGATAATCATACGGTGATACATTTGGCGTAACTGCATCATCAGCCATGACTTGATGGAATCACGTCAGTGGCAAATGCTATTTACATTGGCACAATTTCTTCTTTTTATAAAACTGTTTTAACCTTCCCGTATCATCGCATAACCTTAATATAAGGACACCAGTTCACGACACAATGAATCTCGATGCACTGCGTTAGCATCACTAGCGGATCCACTGACACCGAATAGATGCTTTTCAAACTTCTGAAGCTGACTGTGATTTAAAAAGTATGCATCTAAATCATATTCACTGCAACTGTGTCAATTGCATGATCGCATGGCAACGTCACAGCGTCCACGTATTTAAAATGTGTTTACATGTGTGCGCATAAGAACGCGATGCATACGCCACCTTCAGCACGGTATTTCAACGGTCGACACTAATAATTATTGTTGCTCCTGAATGTCCTTCGTAATTTTCCTTAACGATAACGTTTTTAAATGTGTATTTACACTTATTCATAATTCGTATAATTGTACTTTTTAACTGAATCGCACAATTATATAAATTCCCTATTGTAGTGCTGTGTGCAGCAAGCGAAAATATTTGTATACCTTTAAAGCGTCAAATATTTTTCTCCCGCAATATTAAAATTTTACGTCCCCTTTCTTTGTAAATATCAGTCTACCAACAATCAAGATGAAGTAAATTCTATTTCGAATGATAAATCAAAAATAACGAATAAGCCTTTAAAACTCATCTTTGAATAATGAATTATTATATTCGGCGAAAAATTATTTTAGTCATGAATGAATTTGTATGATAAAATACAAATTATTCATCTGAAAACCTTCATTATAATATCCACATTTTACATGTTACTCTGTATCTCGATTACTATTAGTTACAATTAATAACAAGTGATGTATTATAACACAGCTGGCGAAATGTTTAACAATATACCCTGAAGATATAATTGTTATGAATATTACATTGCCGAAAATATTCAAGTTTATTGTGAAATAGTTTCGCACGGATTGAAGAAGCCAAAAATTTTATAGTAAAAACTATAACAGTTATTTTCAAGGACAATATCAATCAAACATCGATCAAAGAATTCCTACTGTCCTACAAATTTTTATGAATTCCTTGCTTAAAACTCTACCAAGGCACATTTTCATTAAATAATATTTAGTTAACAATCGCCATAAACATTAAGACATAGTCATTGTTTAATAATTTGCAATAAAATAAAATTCATTCCACGTGGAAGTTCATAAAGCGATTCATATCTGACAAGTTTCTGTATATTTCGATTTATATTTGTTATAAACAATAACAATTTGCATTATAAGACAGCTAACAGAATGTTTAACAATATTCCTCAGAGAGGTAATTATTATAACAATTACCTTATTAGAAATAATAAATTAATCGAGAAATAATTTTTGGTGCGCTCGAGTTTCCAGTGCACTCAATGTTCGCGCACCTGCCCGCGCACCAGTGCGCACAAGTTCACGGTCGCCGCGAACCCATAAATACGAGCGCGCAATGAAAATCGCGTCCGCGGACCTCGTCGAGGTCTTCCCACGATTGATGACCACTGGTGGACACTGGTCAAGGGGAGTTCAAGGGGTCCTCTCTATTATCCGAACTCGACTCAGAGGTTTTTTTCTTTTTTTTTTTTTAATTAACTGTGATTTATTTTGATTTATTTTAATTAATTGTGTTTAATATAATTTATTTTAATCCCTTGCGTTTTACATAATTCATTTTAATTACTTATGCTTTATTTTAATTTATTTTAATTAACTGTGTTTTATTTTGATCTATTTTAATTACTTGAGTTTCATTATGATTTGTTTTAATTAACTATGTTTTATTTTGATTTATTTTAATTCAATAAACTTAAGAAAGAAGCCATCCTCCGAGGGATTTCGATATTTATAGTATAAGAATATTTAGATATCTAAGTTGGTTGTAAGATTATTGTGAAAGGTGGATAGATGGAACTGGTGTTTCCATCTATCTTCCTTGGATCTCCACTCGCAGCAACCTCCACGTGGTGAGACCCGGGCAATTGGTATTATCCTCGGTAAAATATTGTAAACCGAAAATAATACCGAGCTAATGGCTGCGAACTTAGAATTTATTTCTCGAGTTATATGAATAAATGTAAGATCGACCATTATTCATGAATGTTCTATCTTACATGACACTGAATGTTTTAATGAAATGCAAGAAATCACGCAAATTCATTTCTTACGATTGAAATAAAGATACAAAAAACCAAAGACTAGGATTATTTCCCTTCCTTAGTTTCTGTTACTTTAAATCAGCACGGCCGCTTCTGGATTGTTGGCCGCTCAAGTGCAAAAACAATATTGCCGCCCTTATTAATTTAATATTATTTAATTAGAAACTTTAGTACGTTGAGTTCTTAAATGTTATTGGGACTTACAAAGTAATGTAATTTATGATGTTTCATTGAAATGAAAGAAATAATTATTGTGATTTGATTGTATGAAAAGTTGAATAGTAAAGTTGTAAGAAGACTTACTCAAAGCAGAAATACATATAAATAATGGTAAAGAAATATATTTAGTCGCTGCAATTCTCATCTGAATCTTCAGCTAAAATGATATCATATCCGGGCAATGTTGTTGGATCAAATGTTTTCTGGAAGCATTTCTGAAATATTAAACGGGCTCTTTTAGCTGGTGGAGGTGGTGAACTTGGTACTGCATCTTCTAACGTATCAGACTGATCACTCTTCTCACGCTCTTGCATATCTGCTTCAAAATTAGTAGACTTTCTTTTTGTTATTGTCGAAAATACAGAATTCACTAATTTCCTTCCACTTGTAGATGCTCTAGTAAATTTGTCACTTGTGTTAGAACTAGAGGATGGATTATTATGAGATCCATGCTGATTACTATGAAATTCCTTTTGATTGTTTTGTTCATCTAATGAATAGCTAATGTCATTTTTGTTTTGATTGTTCCTCATACTGCTATTAGATGTATTCGGTTGAAAATTATCGTTTACTTTAGAAATATTTTCATTTGTTTCTTTTTCCTTTTCCATTAAGTATGAATGAATATCTTTAACGGTAGAACTTCCTGTTTTATTGTCGTTGATTGACCTATGTTTTATTTTACTTTTAGATTTATTAGGTCTCCTAGAATTTTGCTTGCTTCCTGCCTTTCTTTTGACAGATTTGTCCTGTCTACCGACTATTGTTGTTTCTGTTTGACTATCTGCATCAGAACTTAATGTTGAAAGTATTAATTTTCCCTCAAAAGATGGATTTTTTAATGCAAATATAACTGGTCTGAAAATGATTAACAAGTCATTTATGCGTACAGAGTTCAATAAATATTTGCATTTAAACCAATTACTTACTTTCCAGCTTGTTCAAAAAACATGCTAAGTGGTATTCCAACCGTTTCTGAGAAATTCAAAAAAGCTTTGAACTCCTTCATGCAAAATGTAATTGACGTATCACTATTAATATCAAATTTATCAAACTCCCCTTTCCCAAGTGCAACTTGAGTTCGTGTTGTATTTGACAATCCTAAAGCGAATATAAGTACAATAATATAACATATAATATATATGTACAACGAATATAAGTAATACAAGATTCCACATTATTTAATAATATCAGTTACCCGAAGCATCATCTACATAATTTCTGAGTAAAAGTTTCTGAGATGAAACTTCGAATGTTATCTCAATTAAATGTTGATGAAAATTTAGCATTGCATCGCCAAACACACGGCCTTGAGATGAAAGTTGATTTTTTGCGGAATCTTTATCATAGTCAGTCTAAAAAATATGAGTGACAAGTATATAAATAATAAATATATGAAAACTAACAAACATATACATACAAAACCCATACCTGCAGCTTTTCACAATCTAATATAGGCAATAAATGTGTTTTAATAATACTGTTCTTGTACTTTAAAATAAATATGATTTCAGATGCATCAGGTTCTAATCTAATGTGACATGTTTCAACCTGTTTGTCTATTAAATTTGGAGCCTTAAATACTGCCATTGCACTCTGTAGAATGAAAATATTGAATCACTCGAAAAATTAAATGAGAATTTATTAATTCCATATTACCCTCATTGAAATTTTACATTTCAGAGCATCATCTTCTTGTAAATCGCCATAAGCATAGTAAGAGAAATAAGTTTGGCAGAATGTAAAATCAGCATATGCTGAATTTGCCATGTTGACAGTACGGAATGATATAGCATCGCTTTGAGGTTCTATGAACATTTCTTCTCCAATTTTTGCTAATGCATGTATAGCTTTTGCTAAAACTATTATACATACCATATATAGAAGCAATTCTTATTGATAAATATATTTTCTGTGATAGAAATTGATAAAGTATAACCTTAACCAAAGAAACTACTACATACTTTTTATATTCGCACCCGGTATCACACATTTCATATTGAAATTATGTTATTCGCTTATGTATTGTTGATTTAACATTAAGTATTATTTACTTTAATTAGTAGTTGGAAAAGGTAGGCAAAAGAATTCATAATATTTTAAACGCATGACAATAAACACGTTGGTGAATGCTGTATCTTACAGTTACTGACAGCTACTCTTAACATCGAAACATTGAGACACACATTTAAAGTGTAGAATTATGAATACCCGAGCGAAATGATTAATATCTACAAACATAAGTCACAAGAAAACTGTACGAGTTGTACATTAACACAAACTATAAGCGGGAACACAAAATTCATATTTTAGCGCATTGTCAGAAAGAACTATCGACAAACTAAGATACTCTCGAATCTCGAAAATCGAAACTCTGTCTGTCATGTATACTATCAGTACCGAGTTTGACGTTTCTCCAATTCTATTTCACAGTTAACGAATACGATAAACTGAATATTCGGGTTAAAAATATATAACGACTATACAAATATTATTAAATAAATCATGGTGAGCAGATAAAGTGAAACGCAAATGATAAAAATTTTCATAATGTCAATTTCATCTTTAAAGTCTAACCCCAAATGAGATGAATGTTATTTCATAATGAAACTACTCATTTCTTATTAATGTACAAATTATCTCTCATATAAGTTAAAATATTTTGAAATACTTGTTATACCAGGCAACAGACTTATTTTAAAATAATTTTATAATTACAGCTTGTTTTAGTACTGGGAGATTTGCACATTCCACATAGATGTAGTAGCCTTCCAAGTAAATTTAAGAAATTATTAGTGCCTGGTCGAATACAGCACATTTTATGTACAGGCAACTTATGTACAAAAGAATCATATGATTATTTGAAAACATTGGCTAGTGATGTGCACGTTGTTAGAGGAGACTTTGATGAGGTATATTTTATTTTATCATCAGTGGAAATGATAAAATGTGTTTGTACGATAGATCTTTCAACAGCAGATCAGATTAATATAACAGAATACAGCACTATATACATTTGTCTATTATTATGCCTCAAGAAAATAATATTAATAATTCAGAATAAATCTTTTCTACTAGGAAAACTGTGGCTTTTAAATAATATTTGCAATATTAGAGTTGCTTCCTACATCTAAACAGAGCCACTGCTATTGAATTAAAACAGAAGAATCATTGAAATGAAATAAAATTTAGAAAGTTTATATGACTTAAATTATGAAAGTATTTTGCTTCATTCATTTTCCAGACTATTTCCACACTATTCAGCTCTTAATCTGTTCTAGAATCACATTATATTTCTTCCACCAACAGCAAATATTCTGTTAATTACTTACAACTGCTACACATTAAAAATCTCTCTTTTAGAACTTAAATTATCCTGAGCAAAAAGTTGTTACAGTTGGTCAGTTCAGAATAGGCTTGTCACATGGGCATCAAGTTGTACCTTGGGGAGATCCTGAATCATTAGCCTTAATTCAGAGACAGTTAGATGTTGATATCTTAATATCAGGTCATACACACAAGTTTGAGGCATATGAACATGAAAATAAATTTTATATTAATCCTGGTTCAGCTACAGGAGCATACAATCCTCTTGATACGTAAGCATATTTTACACTAATTAATATTTATTTCAGTATTATGTCACATCAGAGTACTTTAAATACTTTGTTTATTGAATAATTTAATGATGAAAATGAATATTTTTACTTTATAGATCAGTCATCCCATCCTTTGTCTTAATGGATATTCAAAGTTCAACAGTTGTAACATATGTATATCAACTTGTTGGAGATGAAGTAAAAGTTGAAAGAATTGAATACAAAAAAAGCTAAAATTGTATAAAAACCCAAATATATGATATAAATGTACTGAGTTATCTTTCATGTCTATTTAATATACACAACTTTGATACTAATCTACATAAGATTCATACGAAATCTCAGGTGCATTTGAATTAGCATTAGCACTTATATAAGAATTCGAATTGTACAATATATTGATTGTAAATAAAATACAATATGAAATATAACTAATTCCGTTAATTTTTTGTTTAATACTCAGTTACAACGTAGCGTATACATTTCCGTATAATGTATTGAAATCGTTTCATTTCTGTCCTTCATTCACGCGTAAATCTGTTTCTATGTACATTTTAAATTTGTTCCAATCGAGCAGTTCGAATCATGCCTTCAGTCACGTACACACATGTAAATACGTACGTACGTTCAAATATCGCATAACATGACCTACTTCTGCGATTCATCGATCTTCTTTGTGTACATGTATTTACTATTTACGTATGATCTTCGTATTTCTGACTAATCTCTAACGTGGTTCCTCAACATTATTTGTCTCTAATGCACACCAACTATAATCTCCAAACTGTCTTCTATCGCAGTAAATTTGATAAGTCTGGACATAGGCGTCACCGATAAACCAACCGAAACATTCAAAATATTCAAATTATGATATAAAATACATGAATAACAGACCATTTTTTAGAAAACACAAATTTTCTTAATTTTTTCATGTAATAAAAATCATTTTTACGGCACAAAATGGCTACAGATAGTATTATTTCTGCGCACATGCATGTTAATACAACGTTATAAATAACGATTTTGCGTACTTTTTATTTAACTACAAAAGTTATATCCTTTTTTATAAGTCTGCTTTTCATTTTTTCAATAATTTCTTTTATATGAATCAATCTTATTATTTTTGTCGTTTGTTGTACATGCATCAGAAAGAAATCGGGGTCCATACGTATACCAATTAGTATAGTAATTTGGGATAATCTACATCCGAATTTACGTCCCTATTATATCGCTGTTCTTTTTTTATAAGTTTTTCCAAATTTCTTGGTAATGTTTTATCGATATGTAAGTGTATGTTTTTTATCCAGAAAAAAGGGGACGTGCACAGAGACTCGTAATCCAGGGAAAGCAAGAAAAGGGGGACGGGGCATTCTTGCGCATGCGCTGTAAACAAAGTGGGGAAACAACCGACCCATCAAAAAGGGCCCAGACTATTTCTGTCGACTACAATTCAGTTTGAGACAGCGTTAGGTGATTTTGAAGAGTTGAATTTCTTTGTTTACTGTTATTAAAATTGTATTGATTAAACGTAGAACATTATATTTAAATTAAAATGGCAACGACATTATTACGAACGGGATTACGGTTTATGATCTCGAATGGAGTCCTTGAAAAAAGGGCCATTCCAGTTTTGTGCAATGGAGTATTTCAAGGGGAACAAAACATTGAGCAGCCACAGCAAAAACTGCAGGTAATTTTTAGTATTCGTATTGTAAACAATTAAATAAATTTTATGGAGAGTGTGAAGTTTTCATGCGCTAAAATAATACATTATAAGCTTATTAACTGACGTTTCTTGGCGTAATTGTTGCGAGTATTCCTTCAAAAAACACATTTTTAAATTATCTAGTGTGATGTTTTGAACCTTTCACGTACAGATAAACAACAATATTTACCGTTATTATTCATACTTCTTCTGTCCCTCACTGTCTACGCATACGTATACATTTTACACCCAATAATATCAGTAATAAAAACATTTCCTATTTGTAAAATTCATGTGTTAGAATTATTTACGCCAAGAAGGATTAAAAACAATTAAATTTTCGTCTTTGAAGGTCTTTGGTAGGACCCCCTTCCTGTTATATAAATCTTACAACTTTCACTGTTCTACTACTGTTCTAACCAGTATGCGTTTGAATTAACTAATAGAAAAAAAACAAACTCGTTGCAGTGGAGTTCATTGGACTGACGTGACCTGACATTGAACGATTTTTTTACTTACGATGTTGCAGTTGCCACAAAATAAATAGCACTATTAGTCGTAGTTACGTGTAATTTTCAAATAATGCTATATCAATGTATTATAATACTATATAAATATTACTTGTTGTTTGCAGTGTCATGAAATTGCTCGACGAATGTACAGTAAGAGGAGCGTGCATTATACGGGAATTTTAACGTCTGTCAACGAGCGAGAAGAGAGTGATAGCGACTCAGACAATGAGGACGAAAGAGTAAGAAAATATTTTCGTTTGCTATCGCATGTCAGAGTTCATTTTTAATAGCTAACCATACGGGCCAACGGGTGATACGCGACGACTACAACAAATAACAAATTTTTACAATTTTTTAAATATAAAATCAGCTGCTTTAAATTAATTTTTGAATAATTTGTAATAAATTTCGAAACATAACATTGTCTACTATTTTCAACGAATAAGTAAAGCCATTTTGTTTTTATTACAATTTAAATACACAAAATACGGTTATTTTTAAAATTACACGTGGTTTGAAAACAAAGCAACCAATGAAAGTTTGGTGTATGCATATATGGAGACAGGGTCAAGCAACCTCTGGGATCCTGTAGTTAGCATTGAATCTCCGCTTTCGATAGATACCGGATTCTCTGGTCTTCTTTTCTGACCCTACTAACCTTGAACGGTATGTCCCATATCGTTGGACTGTCGCGACTGCCAGTTTCGTATGATGTAAAAAAAATGTAGCGCTCCGTTAAAAACACTGAGAATCATTATTATGATTTGAAAAGTACGTACAAGAAATTTGGAGCAAGTATTCCATGTGCAAAAAATTTGAGTTTCTTGTTTTTTATTCTCTTATTGTAATAACGTGTTACCTATAGTACACCTATAGGTATTTATTTTTTGTTAACTCTCTGAGTACTAACGATTCGACAGTCCTGTATATAGATGCTCGCAATGGGTCAATATTGACCCATACGCGTTCTTTTCATTTTTATCATTTAGGTATATGATTCTTTGCTTACAAAAACTGATTTTGCCAACTCTAAAGATTGTTTTCTGAAAGAATATAAATAAACAACAAAATATGAGTAAATTAAACTACGTTTTGGTTGTTTTTTAGAAACTGTGAAGTAAAAGTAATGAAAAAAATACAGAAGCTAAAGTTCATTTTATATAATACTCGAACAAATTTTACTGGTGAAACATAAATTAAATCTGTATTTTCAAACAGAGCGAGTACGTCTTTTCACCGAAATACAGAACTCGACACTATTTAAAGAATTTATTCAATCAAGACATTCGAGGCGCCTTATCGGCTCTGATATAACCGATCGTTGGCCGTGTAGACAGTAATTGTAAGCTAAAGTGTCTGACGAAGTTCTTGAAAACGTGGGTCAAAACAGACCCGGCACGGGTGTCCGAGGGTTAATAAATAAATTTTCACGCAAGATTCAATTTATCGCGAATGACGAGCGATTTAATGAATTAGTAATTAGATTAAGGCGAGCTGTTATTACAACATATCGGTAATCGCATTAAGTAATAACGTTAACGTTTTACGTATCATGAGTACCGTATCCTCGAATGGAATAATCTAATACAATCAGATAAATTTCTCCGGATGTCATATACTACAATTTACGACTTGATACAGCCAGCGGTTTGGCCTTAGTTACAAAGGTGACATACATACATATACAAATGAACAGTTATGAATAAATTTGGTTTCAGTCACTATGTACCCGCAGAAAATGTCTGACTGTTTATCGTCCCTCACCCGCATACATTTTATATTTGGAAACATTTTATACGCGTATCTATGTAGTCAGTATTTTTTTTTTACAATTAGTTAATTGCACGAAAGTACTTATGTCGCGTGAAAATCAACTATTATCGTATCTGACGCTGAAACTTATATGAATAATTAATAATAACAAAAACAAAATATTTCGTCTACAATTTCATTAATCAATAAAAATTTCTAGGGTCAATCACATTTTTGGAGAAGAAAAATGCGAACTTTGCATAGTCATTTAGACGTTAATAAAGATGGAGTCATCAGTTACGAAGATTTTATGCTACTCGCAGAACGGTTTTCCGATTTAGGACATTTATCCACGGAGGCCAAGACTGAATTTAAAGAAGCATTAAATGTATGTATTTTGCATGCTTATTGAATTGAAAAGTGATAAAAACATATACTATCTGATAGTATAAAATCTGAGAGTAGTAAAGAATTCTAAAAAAAAAAGAAATAAAACAGATTTTATTGCAATCTTCAAGGACTTGGAATTAAGCTACTGAAATTTATTGTAATTTAAATATATTCATATGTATATGTTTATGTAGGAACTGTGGAAAGAACAATGGGGTGAAATTAGTCCATATAATCTCATTTGCGTTGAAAAATACTTAGAAGAAATGCACCATGTTCTTAATGACACGTCATTAAAGAAAAAATGCCATCACTTCTTACCCTACTTATTCAAAGTAAGTATTCAAAATATTTGTAGTTGTTTATTAAAAATCCTTTTCTTACAAAATATAATCCCTAATGTACAATTTCAGGCAGTGGATAAAGATCAAAGTGGCGAAATTTCTGTGGAAGAATTTAAACTGTTTTTCCAGTGTTTAGATCTTACACATGATGTGAGTAAAATAATAAATTATCTGCCCCAGTGATTGTCACTGAAATCGAACCGAAAGGTATAATTTAATTGAATAATTTATTGCAGCATGCAGTTGTTTCCTTCAGTCACATTGACACCAATGACGATGGTAAAATCAGTTTAAACGAGTTCGTATCATTGGGCCGTGACTTTTTCTTGACAGAAGATCCAACAAAACCCAGTAAACACTTTTGGGGTCCACTAGTAGATTGAACATATTATTGTTTTACCTTGTAACTTGTGATATTAAGTACTATATGTTGACCGTTTTTGCAGCGACGAACATGCAATGCATGAATTGTTCATTTTACTTGTAAAATGGTTAACTGACTAATTTAAGTTACTATAAAATAGTTAGAAATAAGTGTAACATATATATGTTTTCTTCACTTTAAAACGAAAAAAATTTTTACGCACAACAAAACAAATTTGTAATGAACATGTTTTTAAGTATTTTAATGGTTTAAGAACTTTTATAACACTTTCATATTAAAAAGTACAACCGTTTAATAACAAATACGAATACTCACTTTTACAAATGTATGTAATTATAAGAAAATAAATAGACTGATAATTATTTAATCATTTTCTTGATTTCCTAAGAGAGAAACCTTCACCAGTGAAAGCTTTAAATTCATCCTGGTCTTTTACCTGTAACAACATTTTTATATAACCCTCATATATATATGTACACAATAAATTGGACTACTAGACTACTATACTGTCAATTATTTTTTACCTCCTTATTATTAATGGGTTTCATATTACGTAAAAATGTAAGAGTTCCTATTTCATATTCATAATCAGGTATTCCTCTAACATATGTTGGTTTGTTTGTAGCAACGTCCGACTGAACAGAATCTTTACGTTTTTTGCCATCTAATCTGTTGCCTTCTCCTTTAAACGCTACAAAACCAAGTGGTGCTGGCATTAGGTCTGCAGGATCTACTACATTCTCATCTTTTTTCATTTGTTTTTCTGGTTCCACGTAACCCACAGGTGGAGCAAATTCAACATTCATGTCACATTCTATAATACTAACTGCTGGCCCAGGCTCTGTTTCTAAGACACACATTTCATATATTCTTTGATTATATTTTATAGCAATAACATCACCTGTTGTAAGACAGGCAAAACTTCTTAAACCATTTTCTAAAACAGCTTTAGGATTTGTAATATCTAAGAAGTCTTCAGACTGTGGTTGAAAGCGTGAAAATGTTGCAACTGGTAAAGAAACACTTTGTACGTTTATTAGTTGTGCTTCTTCCAATAAAAGATTATGCATCATCTGCAACCACATCATAATAAATGCATATTGAATGATATTATAAATTATGATTGTCTCATATTAATAATATACTTATAAATATTCTTTACCCAATAAGGTAAATACACTTTTCCTTCGTCTGCAACAAATTCTAAAACACCACAATGAGTTATTCTATTAGTCTTCTTATTAATCAGTTTAAACAACATCGGGTAATTAATATTCAATCTTGTTAACTGTTCCAACGCCGAAGGTGGCATAATTACTGAAAGACAATAAATAAATAGCAACTTTTAAGGTCTTCTTTGTGCAGTAGACAAAGTGTATAACAACTGGATACATTGTATACACTAACTTTTTCCTCCACGTTCGACATCTTGTCGATATGTACCCGGTAACATCGACACAGAGAAGCATTTGTACTGAGTGTTGAACGGCCGTGGAATCTCCGGAAACATATTAAACCCAAACTGAAAGCGGAAAGCCATTTTGATAAACAACTTAACCTCACTTCGATATAAAGTGCGTTAAACAGACGTATTCCCTTGTTAATTTTTGCTTTGTTCTCACAATTTTACTATTAGATTTAAATTATTGGTCTGAGTGCGTCTTGGAAGATCTGCGAATAACAGAATTTTGTGAAAACGTGCAAATTTAGATAAAAGTGCAACTTTGACGTATATGTACACACTGAAAGCAGACGACTCACTCTGTGAATTAGACGTGCGTCTGACTGACAATGTAACAATGGAACGTGTAATGTAATACTTACGTTCTTCGTGCTGTTGCTTATATTACAATACTACACTGTGTAATACTCAGTATTAACGTACTTCGTAATACATAGAACATATTGGGGGTGTAATAAATCCGAGTAATTAAAAAAAATAGATTGCAACTATTTTTATTGCGAATAAAATTTATAATTCATGGGAAATTTACAATTTGCATAATAATGGATGGGTTTGTTCAACCAAAACCACTAGATGCTAGAAACGGAATATCTTATTTCTGTAATTTAAAGGAGAATATGTAACAAAATTGGTAACATAAATGATTCGCAAGAAATCATGACAATTATGCCAACCAATTCTACACTAATTGTTTAATTATTAGAATATACAGATTAACAACAGAATATTGTATTTAGAATTTTCAGTTGGTGGCTACACTGCCTGCAGTGACTTTATAAAAATAGCATGCAAGATTAAATGCATTAGACTTAATGGTACTTATATTTATATGCTACCACTTTTTCTGTGTGTGATATATATTTAAATATAACAAGGCAGAATGTGGTTCGATTCTTGAATTATTCGTAGAAATATTGAGTTACTTTGTAACTTCATGCATAGCATTTGAAAGGTAGTCCACATTTTTTGTTGTTACTCCTGCCATGGATATCCTACCATCTTTTGTTAGGTAAATACTGTAGTCTTTTGTAAGTTTTTCCACCTGTAAAATAAATATTACTATTATTATAAATGTGTTGAAAGAAATTTGTATTACATTTAAAAAAAATAAGAAACATGCAGTACCTGAGAGGGTTCAAGACCAGTATAACAGAACATTCCAATTTGATCTGTAATATGTGTCCAGTTACAAGAGCTACCAAGTTTCTTAAGATTATCTTTCAACTTTTGACGAACAGAAATAATGCGATCAGCCATTCCTTTCACATCAGTGAGCCACTGTTTTTTTAATTCGGGATTTCCTAATACTTCATTAACAATTCTGGCACCGTAGATTGGAGGATTAGAATACATTGGCCTAATTAAAATCTTTAATTGCGAAAGAACACGGTCTGTTTCTTCTTTACTAGATGTGACCAATGTAAATGCTCCAACACGTTCACCTACACAGAATTGTTTATCAAATTTACATCCATTATGTCCTCTCTATAAATTCTCGTTGAGAATTATTATGAAGTAACAAATTTTATGCATTTACCATAGAGACCCATGTTTTTAGCATAGGACTGAGCTAAAGCAATTTTATTGCCATCTTCAAGGAATATTCTAACTGCTGTAGAATCTTTTTCTATGGATCCTGAAATTTTACATGAACATTTCCTTCATATATAAATTTCATAGCTTAGTAATTAGTTTCTGATATTTTATACTACCTGAAGCAAAACCTTGGTATGCCATATCAAAAAATGGGAAAAGGTTCCTTTTTTTTACTAGTGTTGACAATTCTTTCCATTGTTCTGGTTTTGGATCAACACCAGTAGGATTGTGTGCACACGCATGGAAGAGAACAATGGATTTTTCTGGAATTTTCTGTAAGAAATTAATTTTTCAATAAAACTTGAAAAATATTAATTATTATATAATATATAATTACTAACACATAAGTCTTCTACAAAACCCTTGAAATCTAATCCACAAGTTTTTGGATCAAAGTAACGGTATGATTTTACTGAAAGATTAGAAAGTCTAAACACAGGACCATGGTTCCCCCAGGTAGGTGTTGGTACATATATGTCTTTACTTCCAGGGAAAAAACGGGAAAGAAAATTTGCTCCAACAAAAAGTGAACCTGTACCCGAAATTCCTTGAACAGTAGCATTCTAAAAGATATCATGAGTCATAATAGATGAAAATAATTTTTTTTTATGTATATTTTACAAATAAAATATATACTTCATACCAAACCATTTTTAATCACATCATGACCTTCACCAAGTGCCAAATTAATACTATGCTTACAAAATTCAGCATTTCCTGATATTGCTGAATATTCCTTGTCCATTTCTTTGCTTTTAATTGTATCTTCTGCCTACAACATAATTGATTTTAATACATAATTAATTCAGTTATATATCTTATAAACATTTTCTTCATTACAAATATATTTTCATCAGAAATTAATGTTATAAAATATACCTTTCGAACACTTGGTAAAACATATGGTTTGCCATTATCATCTCTATAAGCACCAACACCTAAATTAATCTTTTTAGGATTTTGATCCTTTTTGAATGCTTCTGTAATGCCCAAAATTGCATCAGGTGGGCCCATTTCTACACCAGACCACCATGTACTGTAACATAAAAATTAGATTAAGTTCTTGGATTCTAAAGAATAATTGAAAAAAAGTTTTCAACACTTCAGCATAAAAAGTCCGTTGATGACTTAGTTTTATCAACATAAAAGGAAATACTCATTTATTTAGGATCTGTACTTAACTTTTGAGAAACTAATAATTTCATATATTTTATACTATTAAGGTTAAAAAGGTCAATTATTCTTGAATGGAAATCTTACCTAGATGATCTAATTGTATGTGAAGAAACATTACAACTATTTTTGAATAAATTACACGCGGAGGAAAATGCAATGAGCCTTGTGCTCTGTGCCATTTTATTAACAATTAAATACAATCCTATCCAACGTTCGAACTACTCCACTCCAGCCTCTGGACACACTGCTGACGTTCACTATACCTATTCATGTATATACCCTTGTATGTACATGTATATATAGCAATCCGCGATGGCGATATTTCACGTTTATCGCAATTATCGCGATTTATGTATGGTGTAAACAAACGGACAATGTATCTTATTTTAAATAATGATCTAATATTTAAAATTTTTTTAGTAGATTATATTCAATGTAAAACGTATAGTGTAATGTAACACGTCGTTACAATTATACGAATCTATTTCTATATCATTGAGGTATTTTCTCCCGTAATCTATCATATGTCGTAATGTGATACAAATCACAGAAATAATTATGTAAGTATGTGATACGTGATTTAGAATTCCTACATTCTCACGTAACAGTAATAATTAAACATTGAAAATATACATATACATATACAGAACATCATGTCTATCGTTGTAGCAAATCATATTTCTTTCTAATTATGATAATACGAATTCTAAATAAAATGAAATACAGTTTATCATAGATAAATTATTTTGTAACTATAATATATGATATATGTAAACAAAATTTATTTTAATATTAGGAAAGTGACATATTTGCTGTAGTTTTTATTATTTACATAAAGAAAATAAAACTTCGAAATACACGTTAATCACATAAATTATCAAACTTATTGCATTTATGTACGCTTCTATTCAACACAAACGGGCCAACGAGAAGTTTATGACGTGTAAGTCGAATCGCCATTAGTCGTGCTGTGGAAAATTTCAATGGGAATGAACAAATATCTGAAAGATTGGTGTAGGCTGAACAGCTATTGTATTAATTTGTGTGTACCATATTTGTGCGTAATTTCGCAAACTCCCATTTATCAATCTCATTACAGTTACATTTCGTTCTAAATACTGGAATCATCTGATAATTACTCACATGGACATTGAGACGCTTATTAGTTTTATACGGTAGTATTTCAACCATGGTCTCTATTTCTCAATGATGTTTGATCGTTCTTTTTCTGCACTGCACAGTTTTTTTTTATATCCATCTGACTGCCTGGAATCGAAATTATCATCTCTACTAAAAATAATTTCACTTTTGAAATGTAGGAAGAGCTTCGTGAACATTTTTGTTTATTATTCTGCTGATTGTGTTTTGTAACGACGCGCCATTTAATTTCCCGCTCGCAATGTCGTACCCAATCAAGGTTTCCTGCTTTTATATTACAATTCTGCTATTAATTAAAAATAGAAAGAAATTCAGCGATCTATTTATTCATTTCAGGTATGAAGATTTATTATAGCATTTCATTCGATAGAACGGACATATATATTATTGTAAAAAACTACGTATGTGGGCTTATTGCAAGTAAGTACGCTCTTGCCGAAAAACATGGACCAATAACTTCATGTTATTGACTATAGATAATCTCTGACGTGTCTGACGTTACCGAAAGATGAAATTGTATAGTGCTTCGCCTCTAGAAGAAATGAAATTAATTGTGAATTAATGAAAAACAGGGAATTAAAACAAGTAAAAGTGATGTCTAGTTGAATAGTATATGTACATAGCATATTAATTACAAATAATCTTATTGTGAATTGTATCATGACGATACAACGTTTCATCAAGAAGACTTTGATGAACGTATATACACGTGCAAGTGATTTATTGTAAACAATTCCCTGAGGTTATTGATGAATTGAATAGTTTGTAAATTTATAATTGTATTTATATACATTTACTCTGCTAAGTTTAAAGGTTGTAATAATATGCTGGATGTAATTTTACATCAATGATTATTAATAATTTTAAGAATATACATACACATGTATTTATTTAACTTATGAATACCAAGCATATGGAAAAAGCCATAATCTTTTACAAACAAAATAACTTTATAAGAAATGCAAATGCAAATGCATTTAGGCTTAATTCAAAATGAAAAAAACCATTCATCTTGGTCCAGGTAATCAAGATATATATAAAATCTTTAATCAAAGTACTTAATAGTTTATTCAGAACCATAAATAAAATTTGTGCAACATGTTCTAGGAAGGAAAAGCGTAAATGGTTCTTATCTCTATTATGTGGTACATGTCTCATATATGCTACAAGAACATCAGTTCCTTTATTGATGCCAATTATAAGTAAAGAAAAGCAATGGTCCACAACAGACTCTGGAATAATATTATCTAGTTTCTTTTGGGGTTATACACTAACACAAGTTGCTAGCGGTTATATTAGTGATAGAATTGGAGGACAAAAGGTGTTATGGGTATCTGCTCTTGGATGGTCTATTACCACATATTTTATGCCAGAAATTATTGAATTCTTTTCAAAAAGTGATACATCTGTGTTTTTAGTAGCCATTGTAAGAACAATAAATGGAGCATTTCAAGGTAGTTTTGAAAATGAATCGAATCATTAAAATTAATAACACAAAAACGTTAATTTTTTATATATATAAAAATTATGTATTACAGGAATGCACTTTCCTAGTATGATTAGTTTGATAAGTCAACGATTACATGAAGCAGAGAGAGCCTCGTTCTTTAGTTTATTGACATCAGGATCTGCTCTTGGTACATTGCTCACAGGATCTCTGGGTTCTTATCTGTTGGAAAACTATAACTGGATGACAGTTTTCCAGATTTTAGGTAAATAGCATAACTTGTTTCTCTCGTTTCATAACATAGTATGAAATGTTCTTCATAAACGGAAAATACATTTTTTTCCTCTTCTCTTCCAAAGTAAACACAGAAAGATAATTATATATAATAATTTGTAAAAACACGAATAGTTTATGACATCTTTCATAACAGAAGGGAGTGTTCTTCAGTTGCTTATTGATTTCACCTAGTAGGCCCTAAATACTGTTAAAACCAATAAAACTTACTTGTTAGTCATCTACTAATAAAAAATAATATTTTTCCCTAATATCTTTGTACATAGAGGAAATACTTGCACTAATGTGTTACCCAGCTGAAGTTCATTACACGAATTCGGTTTTATTGTTTGAAATTGTCTTATGGATCCTTAATTTGAATTTAAAACTTCACAGATCATGAATTCCGTTAATCCATGATAACATATTCTATTGTGAAATGATTACTAATTTGTTTTTTTATCTTTATTAAAGCTAAATATGTAAATACGAAACTATTAAACAGAATGTAAGGTATTTCAAAGTTTTATCAAGATTGCGTCGTAAAGTGTATTTATAAATAAATCGTGTCTAAAGTGTCTAATAGGGTGCCTAAGTTCGTGAATTCTTAAATAAAGAGGTTGTAGTTGGCAAATCATTGCCAATTTTGTTTTCCTATGGGCAGGTTTTCCATGAAGCAGCACCCGTCCACTGTGCCGTATATGATTTACACGATTGAACGTGCGAAAACATGGCGAGTGAGAAGAAACTCTGCAGAACATCGCTCACAATGGATCAGAGACTGGAAATTGTGCAACATTTAGAGAGCGGAGCAACCCCCTCCAAGCTGGCTGCCAAATACGATATTCATCCTGCTACCGTCCGTCGCATTCGACGATATGCAGCGACAGTGAATCAGTTCACGGAGCAAGGAGTCGGAATGGGACAGCGTCGGAAGTTACGGAAACCGACAAACGAAGAAGTAGACAGTCGCTTATACGTATGGTGTTTAGAACAGTTAGCACTTGGCGAGACGCTCACGGATTCTATGATGTTAGAAAAGGCAGTAGACATCCATACGGAATATGGTGGACCCTCAAGTTTTAAAGCTAGTAGAGGCTGGTTGTGGAGATTTAAAATTCGCCATGGTATAAGCACAAAAGGTGATGCGGATGAGGAATCGGCGAAACAATTTACAGAGAACTTTGCTCGATGTCTCGAAGACAGACGCATTGAAAAAGAGAATATTTACAATTTCAGCGAGACTGGTCTTGTATGGAAAAATCTTTCTATGTCGATGTTATTACGTGGCGGAATAAAAGACATTGACGGACAAAGACCGAAAAAAGAAAGAGTAACTATAGGTCTCTGTACCAATGCTACAGGAAAACACAAGCTGGTACCCTTGTTTATTAACAGATTTGCAAATCCAAGGGTATTAAAGTGTTGGAAGTATAACCTGCCCGTAATATTTAAATCTCAGCGACAAGTTTTTTTGGACGCCGGTTTATTTTTCGACTGGTATCAAAACTACTTCAAACCGGAAGTAATGAGGCATCAAATGCAAACCGGTATCTACGGGAAAATAATACTCATTTTGGATGACTGTCAAGGAGATAAAGTAAAATTATTTGAAAGATTACAGCCGGATGAACGTTTTCAAATCCATTTCTTCCCCCCAAACACCTCTCAATGCCTTCAACCTATGAATCAAGTGATCGATCAAGTAAAGAAGTTATACCGCAACAAAATGCTGCGCCAAATAATAAGTTTGCCAGGTGGAATAAAAGAATTTTATTCTAACTTTGACATGAAGGAGTGCATTACCTTCTTGCACGAGGCGTGGTGTGAAATAAATGATACGTTCATTCAAACCGCGTGGCGAAATCTCGTTAAAGAAGGTCCTGGCGAAGTATCGGCAATAGAAGCTGCCGAAAGTCAGTTGGAAACCAATCTACCGAACCCTATTGACGCTATTATTTCAGAACAAGAATCAGGAGAAGTAGCCGCTGATTTCATAAGTAGCGCGGAACAGGAAAATATTTCCGAGAAAAAAGTAATAATTGATTCTGTCCCTAATAGTAGTAGGGAATCGTCGTCATCAGACGGATTACCTGATGAAAACGAAATTATAGAAGCATTTAAAAGTGTAATGATCTGGTCTAAACGAGAACCAAAGTTTGTTAAATTACATGTGAGACGTTTGAAAAAATACTACGAAGAAAAGTGACATATTAATCAGCGATGATGATTCTGATTGATGGGTGTGATTGAACGGAATTATTGTAAAACATCGAGTTAAAGTAAATGTATTATATGGCGTATGCGTACATTTGTAAAATACATATGTCATCCATAAAGCAACCTACTTGGAATTCTAAATGAGATTATAAATATCTTGTACCAACGTCTACTTGCAACTGTCACTTCGTGTATTCCTCATCCTGATCAGAATGAGCGGTTTTTATTTTTTAAGTCGATTACTACACTTTTTATTAGTGGATGACTAATCTGAACTTCCGAATGTTGACCGCTAGCTGCACGCATCTGAAGAGTTACTCGCTCAAATTTCCCAGAAATAGTAAAAAAAAAAAGAAAAATAATCAATGAAACTTGTGCTATGATAATACATGTGATTTCTAAGTCAAACTAATTATGTATTAACACAATTTACTGATGTAGGAGGTTTGAGTTTGACATGGACCCTGTTGTTAAGTTATCATGCTCTACCATTTAAAGAAAGAACGGTTTCTACTAAGCTAACTACTAACTACACTTTACCATGGCTGAAGCTTTTAAGAAAACCTCCATTCTGGTAATCATTATGCATGCAGTTAATCTAATTATAAATAAGTCACAGAAATCAGATTTCTTGCACAAACGTTAATATAAATGCTAATAGAGAATACATAAATTTCAGGTCATGTGTAATAGGACATGCTTGCCAAAATAATTGTTTTTTTGTATTGTTATCTTGGATGCCAACATATTTTCACGATACATTCCCTGAAGTCAAGGTAATAATCAATTATTGAACTGCAGATGTTTATGCACGTTAACATATGCAAATCCTTAAAATGCAGATATAAGACATTTTTAATAATATGTAACAAAGCATTTGTTTAATTTTAAACTTAGTAGAACTCTTACACAAAGTAAATTCTCATTTGATTTCAGTTTTTGAAATGATTCTATCAAAATGTGAACTTGTTTAACCATCAGCAGCTTATTCATTATTTACTATTAAAGATTTCACTTATTTTATGAAATTCTGTAATTAATCAATTTTATTTAGAGCTGGGTTGTAAATATGGTACCATGGTTGTCAATGTTACCTTGTACATTTTTGGGCAAATCTCTTTCTGAAAGAATACTAAAGGCAGGATATTCTGTTACTGCAACACGTAAAATAATTGAAACAATATGTTTTGCAACTGAAATAATAAGTCTACTATTCTTAGGTATGTGTATAATTATATTAAAAAAATTCATTACTGAAATTAAATTCAAAATTATTTCAGCAAAAGTGGAAAGTTTCCAGAGTGCAATAATTTGTCTTGCGTTTATAATTGGAGGATCAGGTTTTCATAGTAATGCAATTGCTGTAAATCCTTCAGATCTTGCACCAAAACATTCTGGCAGTGTATTTGGATTAATGAATACTGTTGGTGCTATACCTGGTATGCTAAAAACAATTGTATATTTTTCTTGTTTTATAACAAAAATGCCAATAATTATACTTTCAGGATTTCTGGGAGTATACTTTGCGGGACACATTCTACATGTAACACACAGCTGGCCTGTTGTTTTTATATTCATTGCTATAATTGATGCATTAGGATGTATAATATATCTACTATTTGGATCTGGTCAAGCAATTATATAAAATATAATCAAATGAATTTGTTGTTTCTTTGCTTTCCTAGGAAAATGTGCAGTCTAAAATTAATTAAATAGGTTATATACATTATAACATTAAATAAAACATTACAAATTATTATAACATTCCACGATATCATAATTTCAACAATGCAATAAGTTTCAGAAATAATCAAAGATTTGTTATATTTTCATATTTTGAATAAATGTTTCAAATTTTGTTGAATTTTTGTACTTTTGCTTATATTTATTCAATTATTCTTAATCATGAAAGTTACAGAGGTACGACCAAGATGGAATGTTTTTTAACATCGATTTAAAATGAACTTAATTCAACGATGTAATGTAAATACATTTGTGTAATATTTTATTACACGACAGTGAAAGATAATTGGTTAAATATTTTTTAAATGACACTTTTCTACCAATCATTGTTCGATATTTCATAAAGGTAAATTTCGAACGCAATGTCAAATATTAAAGACCTCCGTCAACCGATGATAAATAAAAGGGTAACCAATACGATGGCTGGCGTGTTCAAATGTCGCTCACATGAAATTGCCGCTTTCTAGTAGGTTGGAGGAAATACCCGATGCCTTTTTTAACACGAGCATGTGAACGGATCTCGAGACTCGAATTTTCGATTCGGAACATCTAGTGAGAATTAGCATACACAGCAGGGATAATTACGGAGGTCGGATTTTATTTTCGACAGGAGGATCGTGTGCTTGTTTTTCCGCGAGATTTTTTTATATACGCGTGATTCGTTCGTCGGTGATCGTCGTTTTCACCGATCGTTCGGTCGCGCCTGCCTCTGCCTGCTACCGCGAATGTGGATACTTCACGGTGCGCCGTGCTGCTACTACTGCTGCCGCCGCTGTGCGTTTGATGTGTTCACCACGGCTAATCGTCTCCTAGTTCTGACGAGATCTGCACATTCGTGAACGGTTTGGAACTGGTTCGTTATTGTGCCAGGCCCCGCCGTGATTGTCACTTGATAGCAACACCCGAGGCGCCAAAGCTGTCCGCATCGGCGCTTTCTTCAGCCCAAGTGGTATCAATGTTGTCTGGCAATGGTGTGTAAGGAGAACGTGGTATCATGGTTTGGGAATCTGTCCAGGTAACAGAAATTTCATCAGCTACTTTACCCGTTTATGCCACAGTATCCATTCTTCATTATAAACACGTTAGAACACCCTTGCTCCCGACTTGCTATTACGTTTTACACCGTGACCTCCTCATGCTTCTTACCAAATTCCGAGCTAACCAAAAAGAATTCCCCGTCGTGATCTTATCTCAACTCCTTTTGTCAGAAACTCCCGTGGACACATTAGTAATCGCAGAATTACGTAGACTTTCGGTTTCATTGATATCTAGTTCGTTTGTGAGCAGTGGGTAGTTTTTTCTTTATACATTACATAGAAATACCATGTATGGTAATGACTATGTTTTCCCATAATTTCTTACATACTTAAAGCACAATGAGTTGATAAATACATTCGTTTTTCGAGATAATTTCTAGCATGATATACAGATTATTTTTTATTTACATCAATATCGGTGTGATGTAAAATTCTTGTTAAACAGTTGAAGGTTTATCAAATTAATGCAATTGGAGTAGAATGTGTTTATGTTCTACCTGAGGTATTTATGTAGATTATACATATTAATAAATAGACAGTATATTTGCTACTAAATGTTCACATGGTTTTTTCAAGAAATTAGTCCTTACAGAGATTTTAATGTTACTTTCATTCTTTGAAATTAAGTTATATGTGTCTATAGTACAGATTTCAATACATTCGAAGAAATATTTAAAAATGTAAATGAATTGCATTTCCATCAATCAGTTATCACATTTTTTCATGAATATTGATGACAAATATTAAATAAAACCATTTTGAACTTCTGATGGAAAAATGACTGAATTGATGTATATTAAGTTATTTAATAATTGTTTTATATCTCAGTTGTGATCATATGCAATTTGAAACAGACTATTGTGTTTATATATGCTTCAAAGTTCACATATTTATGTATGAATTTTCATAGATGCATACAACTCAATAATGATTAAGATGTGAATAATGATTGTTGAAAAGAATTTCTACATATATAATGGAAAGGATAAGTAAATATGAACTATTAGTAGATTTCTGTGTTTATTTCAGCTTTCATAATAACAATGATAATATAGGCACTAGTAATGATTGGATGTTCATCTATTATTTTGTAATATTTAATTATGAGTAATTAAGAATATATAAGGATTGCAACCAAAGTAAATATTATATGGCACAATTCGGCTGCTTCTTTATCATAAGTAGATTGTGGATTTTATGCATTTATAGCGAATACTATTGTTTAAATCTCAGTATACAAAAATATTTAATGAACTTTGATGAGGTATTTGTTTTATTAGGAACCGATTGGTATCCTTAATAAGGTAAAGGAATTTCTGTTTGATGCCAGTTTTTGTAAAATAGACAATGAAAATCTGTATTTGCATAAAGATCCGCAGTCTAATCATAGGCAAAAAATAGCAACTAAACTTGGTGGTTTGTATTAACACTTCTGGAGTTATGTGGTATCTGATTAAATCATGATGTAATGAGATAAATATACCTTTAGATAAACATATTTTGTAATGCACATTAGTGTTACAAAAATTGGTCATACTACAATATTTAAAATGTAACTGTGACAGTAAAATCTGTACAAGTAACAATCTCTTGATAAATGTAAGTTTAAATTATATATTCTTTTTCAAGCTAAACAACTTTTGTAAGTAGAATTATTTTATGATATTAATATCATGAGAAATAATTGTATATATATTTAAATAAGACATAATGCTTACGTACTTCATTAAATTACATTGTACGTAAGTACTAATGATGTATTTAAAAGTTTCATTATAGTTTTATAAATAACATTTTTGGTTTAGACAACCAGAATTTAGTTACTGTACTCAATATTGAAAGGAATAATAATTTTGTTTATATTCATAAGTGATTAACTCTTTCAAGTAAGTGCTGTTACTTTATAATGTTGTTCATAAATAATTTTTAGTATTTAATACTGTATATTTCCAAATTTTCAATGTTTTTAAAAATAATGTATTTGTAGTTTTATAGAAATCAAGTTTATGTCTTTTTAGTATTTTCTCAGTAACCAAAGAATATTTTTTTGTAGTATGTTTCATATTTATGTTACATATGGTTTTATTTGTCCACAGTTATAAACGTATCGATGTCATGTGCACGTTATTAAACATGTGCCTGCCATTTGAAGTCCGATACCTTGGCACTTGTGTCGAGGATATCGGCAAAAGGGATTACAATGACCTCCGCGACACGGAGCATCATGCAAATAGTGCCTCTGATCTTGCTGAGCTGACAACCTTAGGTGTGGCAGATAAACGCACACGACGGAAACTTGCTCTCTACATGGCATTACTGCATTCTTGTAATTATGCGTGTGCGGTGATCTTATACAAGAATCTGTCAAATTTTGATTATCAAGAGATCTCCAATCTATTAAATGGGACCACCTTCACCCCGGATGATCAGCCATTAGAAGAGTTGCTCTTACTGTACACAATGGCATTAAATCATCCGGCGTTTACATACGAGCAAAAGAGCGTCTTTGGCAACATTTATATAAAACTCCAAGAAGAAGAAGCTCGTATAAATCTTTCAAAGTCAAATTCATCCTACAAACAGCCACAAGTACATATACATACAGTTATTATATGCACACATAATCGCTTTCACAATTCGAAATTTATAAACTTTGTGTGCATGTTATAAAAAGAAATAATTTTCTGTTTATTGCGTTACTACATGTATTTTTTAACAGGGCCAGGGCTGTGCACCATGTATGAATACGAACGAAAGATTAATGGAAAATGAAATGCAGGGTAGTTGTATGATGGCACCTCCTCCAATGCAGCCTTATCATGGTAAACTATAATATACCTAAGACACATGTGATGTATGTAATTGGAGGCAGTAGTTCCATTTATTGACACATATTATGTGCATATATCAGCAATACTTACTAATACATATAATTTTTTTTTTGCAGGAGATATGGCAATGAGAAATAATACTATGGTAACTGGAGTTCCCCCAGGTCTTTCCATGCCTCCACCTGGATTGTGTCTACCAACGCCAGAGCAAATGCCAATTGGATCGGGTGGTGCAGCACAATATCTTCATCTTGGCTTTTCATCGATAAATCATATGCCACCGTGGACAGGTCAGGTTATGATGGGGAATCAACTGATGTATCACACTGGCGACATGTTGGCTTATCCACCTTCCCCCTTAGTCAGTCGTCAATCGTCGCCATCCCAGTCTCGATCTCCTAGTCGCAGTAATTCCCCAATGGGTCGCAGGAATAATACAATGCCACGCACCTCTTCGCAAGTGACTCAATCTACTTCGAACACCTTAACGTCAACGAGTGCCTCTAACAGTCAGACAAGCATCTCCAGTTCAAATGCGAATTCTCTTCCGCCGCTTCCTGCACTTGGTACGAGCAGGAGTCATCCTAGTCAACCTCCTTTGCTTCCATCACGCTCTGTTCCCTTGCCTATCAGCAGTTCCACCACTTTCTCACGGCATAGTAGCATAGAGAATACTCCTTCTACCTTAATTCCGGCAGCACCACAATCTAAACAACCACCCCCACCACCGCGATTGAGGTCATCAACTTCTGGTGATTCTTTACGAGAAACACTAGGAAAGGAAATGCCAAACTTCAAAGGCAATTTGCAGAATTTTTCCCTGGACGAGGTGAGATAGTAAAGTTTCTAACGTTGTTCAAAAATATTATGAAATTTTTCCTAATTGCAGTCTATTTACAACAATTATATTAACTACTCTAATCATAAACTTAAATTAACTGCAACTTTAATCTTGTACACTTTATTGTGAAAGTAATTACCAATTATTTCTAAAATGCCGAGTACAGATTCGGAGGATGAGCGACGAAGATTTAAGGGAAATAGGATTAACACCAAATGCAGTGGGACAACTGCGAAGTATAGTTAAAAGTCAAACAACCAACGGTTTGAATCAAATTACTAACGACAAAAAGTTGGACAATACCAGCAACGCGCAACACGCGGATGTAGATTCAATAGGAAACGAGGTAATTTTTCAGTATTTCGTATCTGTTTTACATGTATGTTACTTTTTAATTCGAACATTATAGAAGATAATCGTTGAATCAACAATTTTTCAGGCTATGCCGGGAATGGAGATGATGAATGATAATGGGAATCAAAGTAGTAAGTCTATGCCATTACAGGAACAACATCCAGCGATGCATCATCATCATAATCATGCAGCTACTCCTAATTTACGGCGATATCCTACTATGCCACCATTAGATCCTGGGCAAATACAAATGTATCCTGCACCACCGCCGATGTATGCTGCACAAAACGCACCGTGTTATGCCTGTCTTACATTACCTGTTGCCGGTGTGCAGAATCGATATTCGAGGTAAGAGATACATACCGAGAGAACATACACAGAATAACACTCGTTGGGATAAATTAAACTACCGTGAATTTCACAATTTCAGGTGCAATACGCAACACGTGTACTGTCTGACACAATTGCAAGCGTTACGATTGGACCCTGAAAACAGTAGGCACTGTTCACAGAGCAGTAGTTCTGATAGTACTGGCAGTAGATCTCCGCCAGAAACTCCTCCGGCAGCACCGTGGGTGAGCGGAAACGAGGGCAATGCACCATCGGTTACAGATCACCTTAGCTCCGTACCGGTGCATTCTACAAGCGTGATATCACATCCAGCACCCCAACAACCTATACAATCGTGCCCGGAAAGACAACGCACTAGACGGAATCAAACGCACTTGATGCGTCACAAAAATCAAATGGTGAACGGCGGTGGGCCACCGAACTTATCGCAATGCGTTACCTTTCCCACGCCGCCATCGCATTCGCAGGTCACGTATCTGCCTCATGGTCATTTCTCCACCTTGAGACCGAGCAGTGGTATTTACTCGAATTTCTCACATGGACCGTACGCGAGGCCAGCTTATCCGACCACGTATCAGCCGAACGGTGAAATGATGTACCCCTATCCTGGACATCCATCTTCAGGTGGAACACCACCACCGCCGCCAAATGCTGCCGCAACACCTGTACAGGCACCGTATATGCCACCTACTCCGGTCGTTACGTACGCACCGGCTGCCGTCCCGCCAACGAAAATCTCGTGTTATAACTGTGGTAGTAGTAATCACGTCGCAGTTGATTGTAAAGATCAAACAATGGAAGACATTACCAAAAAAGGTAAGCGTTTGATATTTTCTATTTATATTTTATGTTTTGCTCGATCTTTATATTTTTTATATTTTATACAATGAATATTATTCACGTTAATTTAAATGCCATTACATTATCTAAAGGCGGAGAAAGAACTGTACATACAAATTTTTTTATAACCTCCAAAATGTTATTGAAACAGCACTCATGTCGTAGGAACGGCTTGTTCGCAAGTTTTCATACATTTGAACGTAGAAAAATTTCCCCGTAAACTACATTGTTAAAACATTCTTTTGTTTCTTCGATTGGATCGTATAGTTTTATTTGAACGGTATTGTGGGAAGTGTCGAGATAGAACAATTATATTTGGACTGGATGGTAATGTAAGCATGTTTATTAAGGGATTCCTCAAGTATTTAATAGGAAGGTAAATAATATTATAGAATATAAATGCAGACAATTTGTAGCTACTACTTGCAAGAGTTTACTGGAAATTTTGGTAGATATCGAGTTTGTTTTAACATTCATTGCAGTATCATAAACAAACAAGTTGTATGAGTAACATTTCTCTTCTATAATACTATATCTTCAGTGCTTCAGAATTCATCTGAAACGTTACCATGAACATATATTGAAGCATTATGTAATCATGAACGTATTATTGTGTCGGATCTATTGTGATAGTAGCAAGTAAAAATGTTTTTTTTTTTCATTCATCCTCGAGTCTTTACAATTTGTCCAGGTGTACTTAACCAATAAGTAAATAGAATGTGTTTCTTTGATATTTCTTTTCGTTTTAGTGTGCAGTAATAGTGTACTTTGAATTTCAGCTCAGTACCGTCTAGACTACAGCATAATGAAACAACCTGGAGAGTGCCCAAGTTCTGATAAGTGATCCCCTGCTATGGACCACCGAGCAGTATACCGTCATCGTCATTACCATAATTACTGTTACCATCACTGTCATTATCATTCCCATTGCCACTATTACCATGACCCCGCCACAGCAATACAACCTAAGGACCGTTCGAAAGATGACTGCTATCGCTCCCTGTGCAAGTTTTCGGTAATTTTTGTAGACATCCCTTACATTCAGGACGACGATTTTTTAACAGAGGACGTTTCGCGATTCACGGTACCAGGTATACTTTTTACAAGTTCTTATTTATGATAGTAATTATTCTTAACTATGATTGTAAAAAAGGATGTGTTAGTCGTCGTGTACAAAAAGAAAAAGAAGTGGGGAGGGGAGGGGGGCGGGAAAGATAACTAAAAGGAAGCATAACGCAGGAATCCGATGTTCTTATCTATGGTTTTAGAGTACATTTTGAAAGGTTTGTGTTTAGGTATTGACTCGCGTCTTTCCAACGATACCTATTTGGGCTACTTACCCTAACCCGCACACCACCTACACCACCCCCCACCCCCCCACCATCTCTCTCCCTGTTTCTCTAGTAAACTAGCCATAAACTAAACGCAAAGAAAACAAAAAAAAGGCGAAACAACGCATTGTGCTCTAATTAGGTGAGAACTATTCACGTTTGACTATATTTATCATTGATACTTTTACTTCTACTAGTACGTCTACTACCAACTATTACTACTATTACTATTAAACTATTACTATTACTTCTATTATCGCTACTGCGCCGCGACGTTTTTATGTATATATATTTTCTCAATTCTTATGCGCGCAGTGTTCGAACGAATGTAACAAAAAAAGAAAAAACAAAAACAACATACGGTGAGGATGAAATAAGTCGAAAGATTAGCGAAAAAAGAGCGAATGAATATTAGACAACGAGAGGGGGAGAGAAAGAGTGAAAGATGTAGATAGATTGATTGGAGGAACGAATGATAGAACAACAAACCAATAAGTGTTCGATCATTTAGCTGCCGTTGCGCTCCTGTGTGTATAGAAAAAACAAAAAACAAAAACAAGCCACAAAATAATACGCCGTTCACCACTCATTTAATTAACTTATCGATAGCTGGCTAAGGAAACGAGCAAACTCATCCTATTTATACGAAATAGTCATGCAGTCACGTGCAACTTAAGCAGTTTTATACGACTTTTATTGATCGCCCATCTTTTTTAAGTGTAGGCTAATGTGTTACACATGCGTTTAGAACCTTTCTTAGTGGGTTAACGAAGAATAAGGAAACCAGAGAGGAGAGTCAAAAAAAAAAAAAAAAAAAAAAATAAAGAGCAGAAAAACGGGAAAGGAGAAGGAAAATAACACAATTCTAAATATAAATCATGCTCTAGCGTTTAGGGCGCGAGTGGGAGTCGCAGTTCTTCCGCCTTGTGTTGTGTTTGCAACTCGCCTCGTCGATATGTTGCTATTGCATTTCAAAAATCGACGCGAAAAACGAGAACGCGACAAGCAGCCTTTAGCGTGTGTTTAATCAAATTGTACAGTTAGAGTGGATCATTCGTCAAGTGCGAGAGATAGAATGAAAGAGTGAGAGGAAAAAAAAAGGTAACGAGATTTTCGACTAGCCCCGATATCTACCGACGGTTCATACTTCTTAATCGTAAGGCTCTCAATAACTACTGCACCCGATCTATGTGACGTAGATCTTAGATAATCTAATTAACACGGAATGAAACGAAACAAAACGGAAAAACAGCTACGATTAAAGCGATTCAGATTGAATCGAATGTACGACCTCGAGTACTACGTTATGCATTTAAAAGAAACTTCTTTTTCACAAATAGTTCACCGGCTGTAAACAAAAAGAAAAAAAGAAACGTGTCTAGCATGTGTGCTCTTTCGATTGGCAATGCGAATATTTTTGTCTCGTTGTTTTGTTTTTCGCCAGCTAATCACGGATACGGTGTTTTTCTTTTTTATCGTCGACACGATTTTTCCAGCGATTCGAGGGACGATACGTAGTTTGATTTTTGGATCGATCGCAATGAAAGTAGAAAACCAAAAAAAAAAAAAAAAACAGTTCAGATACTTTCCCATTCTGTATTCGACTTACCGATTTTTCTTATACTTTTTATAACATTGATCAGCCACGGTGACCGTTAGTTTTTATACAACGCCGAACGATGTTCTTTTTTCCGAACAAATAGGAGGCCAGAACGTGTCGGATCAGTTTTTCGGGCGAATTATACCAATCATTGTACGGATTTCGAAGTGAGTTTCATTCATCGGTTTCGAGAAATATTGTTGAGATAATTCTATTGTTCTGTTAGTGACGTTGAACGAGCTTTCTGTCGAATCTCTTCCGAGGAGAATATTTCGGATGTCTTTATCGCAAGCTCGATTTCGGTGTGTGTGTGTCTGAGGGGGTTGGTCTTTAGTGTGAAAAAATGCCATTTTTGTTCTTTCTGTAAATAATCCAGTGTCTTTATACCGGTCTATCGAGCGCAAACACGGTCTCGAGCACTTATTTTCTTCCCTGTTACCAATAGCGAGTAATCAGTTTCTCTTTCGAATTTAAGTTTCGAAGTGGCTGTGACCGACGGGAGAGGTTCGCGAAATTATCGAAAGTGACAGAGATTCAGTGATCGAAACGTGTGACGTTTTCTTATGCCCGTCGAGCGTTCGGTCCTCGGGAATGGTCGAATTTCGTCTGAAGTAAACTACAAAAGATATAAAAAAAGAAACAGTTCAGATATATTCTACATCGCCTTCGATTCTCCGTATGCTGGTAGGAAGAAATTTTCAGAAAAATTTGTTTAAATTATTTTTTTTTGAAAATTTGGTCCTACCAATAATGAACTAAAAACAATGTAAAGTTATTTAAACGTTTTTTTTTTTTTTTTTTCGATATCTTTTGTAGTTTACGAGTTACGAGCGAATAAGTGAAAGGGACGCTTTCGGATAAAAAGGGGTGGTTATGAAGTTTAAAAGTAGCGTAAACCAAGTACGGAAAAATTCTTAGGTTGGTCCCATAGACGATTGAGCAAAGTTACAGACAAGATTGATTTGTATCGCTTCGCGAACACATCCCTTTTCAGGTGAAATCGAGAGATGTTATTTCGACCGTTATCATCGCGGACGCGCAAACACCCCTAGGGAGGGGCGGGGGCGGTTCAGTTCACACGCTTTCCAAAAAGCAGTAACAAAATCATTGTTGACCAAGCGATATATACCTTGGTGTTGTAGTCATGGTTCGTTGTGTTATCGAAAAGCAATAGTAACCAATTAAAAAACGGGAGAAGAAAAGGATTAACCAAACAACAAAATGCGCCCGATTTATTGCTCTTTACGAACTGTCGCGACGATCTAGATACGCGTGTTTTGCTATACATATATATATATACACATATATAGTTTATCCCATTTGGCAATAAGATCGAGCGCAAGATTTTCTTGTCCTTAACCGTTAAGCAATATTTCGTAGAGTGTAACACCAACGTAGTAGGGGGCTCTTTCGGAGGGAATATTGTGTATAGTATTAAATGTTGTCCGAGCAGCAATAAGGGAAGTTCTCTGCACTTTCGTTGCTGACCAGAGTGAAATTGTACATAAAAAAAGAAATAAAAAAAAAAACGGATCACGTCGCTTTAGTAAATAATTGTCATCCCTAGTTGGGCGCACTGTAAGCAACGATGCTTATTCGACTGATACGAAATTCTGTTCGGTATCGATGTCCAGGGAATTGTGTTGTCTTCATTTGTATCGATTTAACATTCAGTTCCATTGCATTTTGTATGGGATTTTCACGAGGTCGTTGAATTCGATAGTTTTTCTATTCCCCTCCCACTCTGTTTATTTATTATTTATTCATTCGAAGAAAATTGTCCTTTCAGAGTTTGCGTTCTCAATGGAATTCACTTTAGAATACGTGTTTTCGTCGATAACACCCTCGTACAGTCACGACGTAAACGATCGAAAAGTACCGTGTCGTATTTTATATAATATCGAAATATAAAGTAGAAAGTGATTTCTCGATGATCGACTCGTTGGACGACACTGTACGATCACGAGGGTGTTATCCGAGGGTGGAAGACTTTTTTGTCGCAACGAACACCCGCCATGCATGCGCATTTAAGCCGTCGGAAAAGGAAAAGAGGAAAACTTGTATTAACTGCGAACCAACGAAAAAGAGAACGATAGAAAAAGTTCTTCTGCGTATATGTAGTCGACAGGTTGCGTTTATTTGTAAAGTTTGGTGGGGGGGGGGGGCGAGAAAGTTCAAATGCTCTTGATCAAATCAGTATTATACCTAAACGAATCAAAAGTGAAAGAAAAAAAAGTCAAAGAACCATATCACTTGAACGGGAGCCGTATGGGAGGACCGTGAGAGATTAATCGTAGTAATAATTGTATCGAAATGATAAATATTGATATTAATTATAGTAATAATAGTAACGATAATAATTGTATATTTGTCGCGGAACAGGAGATGTAAAATTTCCGGAAAGATTGAATCATCGAACACCATCACCTTCTTTTTCGGAAAACGAAGGAACAAAACGACACTATCTTGACGATCGATCGACAAGAAAAGAAAAACACAAAAAAAGGTGTATATATATATAT